TATATATATATATATATATATATATATATATATATATATATATATATATATATATATGTATATATATATAAATACAGCGTGACTGAAAAGTTACTTCCTATTTTTATACAGCGTGACTGAAAAGTTACTCCCTATTTTAAAATACTTAAAATTTATATAGGATAATATTTTTCTCATTTTTTTTTTATTATGATCCTTAATGTATGGAAATTAAATCCATGTTTTCTTTAGATCGATTATTTTCTTTGAAATCGGAAGCCCTACAAACATGACTGATCTCTTAAATATCCTCTGGAGAGATGAAGCGGTATTCCACATTGGTGAGTTTGTGAACTGTCACAAATGCAACTACTGGGCGGGAGAAAATCCTCGTATTATCTCTCAAAAAATGCAGAATCGGGCCAACGTAACAGTATGGTGTGGAATGACTTCGGACAGTATTTTGGGTCCCTTCATCCATAGCGACACCATGAAAATTGAAATGTGCCTCATCATGCTGGAAGATAAAATCTGGCCAGTTATCAGTACATGGGAGAATATTGAAGATTTGATGTTCATGCAAGATGGGGCTCCTCCACATTTTGCTATTGTTTTACGCGAATGGCTGAATGCTCACTTCCCTGGGAGATGGATGGGTCATCGCGGTCCGCATGAGTGGCTAGCCAGAAAACCCTGACTTAGCATCCTGCAACTTTATTCTTTGGGGTTGGTTTAAGGAGCAAGTCAACTCTACCAAACCAACGACTTTCGAAGGACTTGAAGGGCGAATACGAAAAGTTATGTCTTCCATCCAAAAAGAATTCCTGGTGAAATCAGTGGATGTGGTTCAAAGGCGGTTTGAGAACCTGGTGGCGAATGCTGGTGCCCACATCAAATTTTAAAAGAGAGAGTTCCTTTTCAATCACTATATATATATATATATATATATATATATATATATATATATATATATATATATATATATATATATATATATATATATATATATATATATTATATATATATATATATATATATATATATATATATATATATATATATATATATATATATATATATATATATATATATATATATATATATATATATATATATGTATGTATGTATGTATATATATATATATATATATATATATATATATATATATATATATATATATATATATATATATATATATATATATATATATATATATATATATATATATATATATATATATATATATATATATATATATATATATATATATATATAAGTACGAACTGCTAACATACAGCACTAAATAGTAAGGAAGCCCATCAGTGAAACAAAACTTTTAAAACAATGCTATATTTCGGATCCTAACTGGGTCACTTCTCAAGGGATCCAGTTAGGATCCAAAATATAGCAATGTTTTATAATTTTTGTTTCACTGATGGGCTTCCTTACTATATATATATATATATATATATATATATATATATATATATATATATATATATATATATATATATATATATATATATATATATATATATATATATAAATATATATATATATATATATATATATATATATATATATATATATATATATATATATATATGTATGTATGTATGTATGTATGTATGTATGTATGTATGTATGTATGTATGTATGTATGTATGTATGTATGTATGTATGTATGTATGTATGTATGTATGTATGTATGTATGTATGTATATATATATATATATATATATATATATATATATATATATATATATATATATATATATATATATATATATATATATATATCTATATATATATATATATATATATATATATATATATATATATATATATATATATATATATATATATATATATATATATATATATATATATATATATATATATATATATATATATATATATATATATATATATATATATATATATATATATATATATATATATATATATATATATATATAAGTATGAACTGTTAACATACAGCACTAAATAGTAAGGAAGCCCATCAGTGAAACAAAACTTATAAAACAATGCTATATTTCGGATCCTAACTGGGTCACTTCTCAAGTGATTCAGTTAGGATCCAAAATATAGCATTGTTTTATCATTTTTGTTTCACTGCTGGGCTTCCTTACTATATATATATATATATATATATATATATATATATATATATATATATATATATATATATATATATATATATATATATATGTATATATATGTATGAATCAATTTTTACCCCGAGCGGGACTTGAACCTAGGACTAATAATTACTAAGTCAAGGCGCTATCAACTACACCACAGAAGGTTAAAAGGAATCCAACCTTATAGCTTATATCTGCTATACTTAGGAATAAACGCTTTCTATCTGAATGCCACTATGTTCATATTACAGATTCCCCAACCTCACTCGTGGCTTCATTTTCGTATTTAATTCAATTCCCAATATCATTCGGGCCGTACAATAACCAAATAAGCGCATTACATATGTGAAAACATGAATCATTTTTTACCCCGACCGGGACTTGAACCTAGGACTTATAACTACTAAGTCAAGGCGCTACCAACTACGCCACAGAAGGTTAAAAGGAATCTAACTTATAGCTTATATCTGCTATACTTAGGAATGAATGCATTCTATCTGAATGCCACTATGTTCATATTACAGATTCCCCAACCTCACTCGTGGCTTCAATTCCGCATTTAATTCAATTCCCAATCTCATTCGGGCCATACATATGTAATGAGCTTAGTTGGTTATTGTATGGACCGAATGAGATTGGGAATTGAATTAAATGCGAAAATGAAGCCACGAGTGAGGTTGGGGAATCTGTAATATGAACATAGTGGCATTCAGATAGAATGTGTTCATTCCTAGGTATAGCAGATATAAGCTATAAGGTTGGATTCCTTTTAACCTTCTGTGGTGTAGTTGGTAGCACCTTGACTTAGTAATTATAAGTCCTAGAAATATTCATGAGTGTGTTTTCTCATTCACCTAGCTAAAAGCTCACCGAACTTTCAAAGTAAGGATATATTAAACATTTGAATACGTAATGAATCACGAACATAATAATTTTTTTCAAAAAGCATTTGATACACTCGCGTTCTTTGTTATTATCTTTGCAACCTTTTACGCTTCTTAATATTATGATTCTCACTTACCTCATTCAACGGTCTCCTGCAGCATAATCACGAAAAAGAATATTTCCAATATAAACAAGGAAACGGTTGAGTTATTCGACATAACTATGTACAGTGAGTCTCATCTGTCAGGGCTTCATCCAAGCCACCTATAATTAGATTCCTCTATTTCCCCCTTCTTGGATATACTAATTTAGCCTTGGAAAAAATTCCTTCTCCCACTCTCAGTGACGTAATTTACTTAGGAGTAGGTACTACCTAATAAATCAATGATGCAGTCGAATCACTTTCTGTGTTATTTGCTCAAAATATTTAAAATTTTTCCCTCTCCTTCCTGCTTCATTTAAGCTCTCCATATTGTTTTTATTTTTATTTTTTTAATCGCAATTCTGTTTACATTACATTGTCAACATTCCTCTTTATGTGCCATGCCATATATATATATATATATATATATATATATATATATATATATATATATATATATATATATATATATATATATATATATATATATATATATATATATATATATATATATATATATATACATACATATATATATATATATATATATATATATATATATATATATATATATATATATATATATATATATATATATATATATATATATATATATATATATATATATATATATATATATATATATATATATATATATATATATATATATATATATATATATGTATTTATATATATATATATATATATATATATATATATATATATATATATATATATATATATATATATATATATATATATAAATATATATACCAAAGCCATATTCCCCCTTATCAGGGGGGTAGCTGAGTCAAAGAAAATACTTTGACTTTTTGTGGGAATAAATATTGAGGAGGGGATTTTCAATCCCTTTCGCTCCGCCCCATTCAGTCGACTATTACGACACGCAGAGAAACATGAAGGAATTATTCTTATTCCCTCCTTCAGGTGGGGTATATATATATATATATATATATATATATATATATATATATATATATATATATATATATATATATATATATATATATATATTATGAGTGTGACACCGGACAGGCAATAACTGCTCTCATCAATAAAGACCCGGGTATAAGAAAAACAACAAGACACAGGAAAAGAAAAAGGTTAAGGACAAGGCAGAGATGAGGTAATATCACAAAATGGAAAACGACAGACAGACAAAACAGTCAAAGTACAGAGGACCCAGAGATATGGAGGATTAGGCCCTGAGATGACGATAGATTCACATTTTGAAGGATGATAGGTCATAAGAATTAGGAAAGACAAAAGGAGGAAGAGAGTTCCCGAGTCTTGAGGTAGATGCCTTGGCTTAGTAATTATAAGTCCCAGGTTGAAGTTCCGGTCGTGGTAATAATTATTCTTGTTTTCACATATGGTAATGCACTTTTTTGGTTATTGTTGGTCCCGACTGAGATTGGGAGTTGAATTAAATGCGAAAACGAAACCATGAGTGATGGTGGGGAAACTGTAATATGAACATAGTGGTATTCAGATAGAATGCATTCATTCCTAGTATAGCAGATATAAGCTACAAGGTCAGTTTCCTTTTAACCTTCTGTGGTGTAGTTGGAAGTGCCTTTGCTTAGTAATTATAAGTCCCAGGTTCAAGTCCCGGTCGGTGTATAAATGATTCATATATTCACATATGGTAATGTGCTTATTTGGTTATAGTTTGTCCCTTATAAAATTGGGACTTGAATTAAATGTGAAAGCGAAACCACAGTGAGGTTGGGGAAACTGTAATATGAACATAGTGGCATTCAGATAAAATGCGTTCATTCCTAGCATAGCAAATATAAGCTATAAGGTCTGTCTATGGTGTAGTTGGTAGCACCTTGGCTTAATAATTCTAAGTCCCAGGTTCAAGTCCCGGTCGTGGTAAAAATGATTCATGTTTTCACATATGGTAATGTGCTTATTTGGTTATTGTTGGTCCTGAATGAGATTGTGAGTTGAATTAAGTGAGAAAACGGAACCACGAGTGATGTTGGGGAAACTGTAATATGAACATAGTGGGATTCAGATAGAATGCGTTCATTCCTAGTATAGCAGATATAAGCTATAAGGTGTGTTTCCATTTAACCTTGTGTGGTGTAATTTGAACCTCTTTGACTTAGTTATTGTAAGTCCCAGTTTCAAGTCCCGATCGGGGTAAAAACGATTCATATATATATATATATATATATATATATATATATATATATATATATATATATATATATATATATATATATATATATATATATCTATATATATATATATATATATATATATATATATATATATATATATATATATATATATATATATATATATATATATATATATATATATATATATATATATATATATATATATATATATATATATATATATATATATATATATATATATATATATATATATGAATCATATCTTACCCCTACTGAGACTCGATTCTAGGACACATAATTATTGTACCACAAAAGATTCATAAAAGGGAAAGAAACCTTACAGCTCTATTTGCTATACTATGAATATAATAATTCTATCTGAATGCCACTCTGTTCATATTTCAGTTTACTCCAACCTCACTCGTGGCTTCGTTTTCTCATTTAATTCAAATTTCAATCTAATTAGGGATCAAAGATAATGAACAAAGAATATTTGGGAAGAAAAAGGGGTTCACGTGCACCTAGTGGATTATTTGTTGGCATCTGTTTTATTCAATTATTTTTAAGTGTCTATTTAAGTGTCTAATGTCATACGGGGTTCGTTTTTACCCTTTGCTACAAGTAATTAAATAATTGGTATGTGGAGGCGAACCCTAGAAATATTAGAAAGTTGCATATCTTTTGAACTAAACAGATTGTAGGGACAAATAAACACATTTTCCCATACAATTTTGACCCAAAAAAATCCATTGAATTAAATATTCTAAAGTTTTAAGCACATCTTGACTCGATATTAGGAGGAAACAAGTGAAAGAATTCTTAGTCAATATGGGATTAAGTTAATCACATTTGACCTTTTTCTTTCAGATATGTGTATGCTGGTGAAAATTTGGTCTTATGGATGTTGAAGTGAAGTATGAAGATCTTTAGACTAGCCATTAAACTATTAAGGTCCATAATTAAATCATACAGTGACTAATCATGGGAAAAAGAAAATGTTGCGACATTTCCGAAAACCCTACAAAGAAGTTACCATCGACATTATGTATTTTGCATTACCCACCTCTCTCTCAGCATGGTAATTTTACAGTCTTTAGTTCTTGCAAGAGGGATCAAGATGATAAGCTCTCATACATACATAATATTCGTGATTTGAGACTCAGTGAACCAGTAATTTCGCCCTACGTATGAATTATATTAGTGACCAGATACCATTAACGCTTGAGGGATTGCCTTTGGAAACAACTGGTTATCATCAAAACTGCTAAATAAATTTTACAAAAATTTTACAATGAACTTAGGTCGCTTAAAATAATCGAAAGCTTCTGGTTCCAGTGAATCATTGTCATCACAGATAGAGGATTCCCTACGGCATCACAAATCTCAGTCTGACCGTTCTGATGGGACTCGGTGTTCCTTCCTGTTTCCTAATCAGTGTATTTTTTGTGAAAAGGTAGAGATTAAGGTCAGGGGAAAGACTGAACGTCCTGTGAGGAAGCACAAAGAACCAGCCTGGAAAATCATTGCTCCCAGGGTACAGGAAATGAATAAGGAGGCTCTTTACCACAAAGTACAGGGTAATGACTTGTACGCAATGGAAACGAGGCACCACCCATCATGCAAAAACACATTCAATACCGAGTAACAGAATCAGGTACGTGGGAAGAAGAGGTCAGAGAAGTCAGACAGCATTGACAACCTTCAGGCCCAGAAGATAGCAGCACATCAGAGAGCCTATGAAAGCGTAAAGAATTATGTTCTTAGGCATGCGATTGAATGTAATGAGGTCGTCCAACTGACATTCCTCCGTAACTTGTATATTGAAAAGCTTTAATAAATGTGGCTTTTCCAATCCACTTTACCGGAATGAGAAATTGATAAGCCACTTGCAAGGAGACAAAAACATCTCGCAAGCAATTGCCTTCTCCAAGGTACTGCTCCGTAGTTGTGTGGAGCTATACCTCATCTACAGTTCAAGTATTACATTAGCTGAAGCAATATCATGTGCCTACAAGCTTGGCACAACAAACCTGCTCCAAGATGCAGCCCTCATGCTCTGTTCCCTCATTATAAAAGCATTCAAAGAATCAAAGAATTTGGCTTGGCCGCCAACTACACATGAGCTAAATGCTTTGAAGGTAGAAGAGCTACTCCCCAATGATCTTGTAAAATTTATGAGCATCGTTCTAACAGGAATACCAGAGGTTGATGGAGAGAAGTCTGAAAAGACTCAGAGGCTGGTCTACTCAATCGCACAGGATGTATGTCGAGCTGCAACCAATGATCAGTGGAAACTCCCAAAACACATCCTCCTCTGTGCCACTCTTTGGCACCTCTATCGAAGCAAACAGGTGGGTAATCAGCTAACATTATTTTTTTCTTCTTGATTAGCTTGGTACAGGTGTCGACATTACTCTCACTCCTAAATCCAATATGCATCAGAGTGGATATTGTAGATATTTTCTTAGTCTGTTAGTATTCTAGAACTATACTTAACTATATGAGAATGCTAAAAATAATGTACTGAGTAATATGATCATTGCAAAACTGATTTTGTTTAGATACTAAAAATATTGTATATATAATTTTTTTAATATAAATCACTCTCTTTTCAGCTCACAACCATCCTTGCCCGACTCGGTCACTCAAAAACCTACAACTTTAGTCTGGAGCTTCAGATAGCACTAACCAAGGCTTTTGATGAGACGTCCACCTACCTGACCCCTCAAATCATCACTGGTGAGGGTAATGCTGTGTTCCATAATGAGTGGGATAACCTTAACAAAATTACAACCAATGTCCATGGCTCAAACATTGTGAATAGTGCTGGAGGGATAATGATTCAAGAGGTGAGAGAGGGGCATCAAAGCACCAATGTGAGGACCCTTCCTTTCTATGAAAGTTCATCCAAAATGAGAATCCTCAAGATTCCCCCTCTAGAGACATTGCCAGAACTAGCATTCAGAAGAATTGGTCCCAAATTTCCCCAGAATGCTAGGTTTATTCCATCTGCTGAAAACCAAAGGATATACGATGCTACACTGTTGGAGTACTACCTCTAACTTCTATGCAGACTTATAAGCAATGAGGGTAAGCAACAGGTGCCTGGATTTGGTGGTTTCATTTCAAGCTCTGGGAAAGTGCTCCAAGAAAATCTACAATTGACTATTACACCCCAATCAACCAGCCTATTCCAGATAATGCAGTGGAATATTAGCTGCTCAAGAGTTAAGAGGCAGCAACACAGGAGGATTGGTAGCCATACACCATCAACACCTTTGACAAGGGGGTGGTAATGAAGGCATGTCCTATAGTATGGAAATACGAGGAGGAGTTCAATAAACACGTCATCATCCCTGACAAGTTCCACACAGTTATGAATTATATAGGCATGCTCTCTGGTCACAAGTGTAGAAGTGCTGGCTACTCTGAAATTCTCATTGAAGCTGGCCTCGCAACCAGTGGGTGCCTGAAAAGCATCCTGAGTGAAAAATCATATGCCAGGCCGTTCTTTAGACTAAAGGTGGTCACAGAGGCACTTGAACAGTTACTACTCAATGTGTACCTGGATGAGGAGAATGTGGAGGTCCCACATTAGACTCTAGTCAATCTTAACCACTACTGCACCTGTGAAAATCTTGATGTTGCTCTTAAAGACACTTCAGTTATCAAGGTGATTCGTCAATATACTAAGTTCCAACAGAAGGGTCGTGAGAGCCATCTTGGGAAGACAGGAATGTTCTTGCTCTCAGTGATGCATCATGCAAGGTTTGTCTTCATGATGGACTTTGCTGTGAAAACTAATAACTTTGAGCTCTTTCATCACTGCAACGGTAATCAGTGTACATACTATTGATACTGAATAACAAAGAATTAAGAGGAAATGACTGTAGTATGAATTCTAAAATAATATTAGTAACAAAATCAAAGAATTATATAGAGGAATAAACTGTAGTATGACATTTGAAATACTGTTGATTCTCTACAGGTACCTGACATGGTTCGAGGCATTCCTCATGAACATCGACCTCTCTCACCCTGGTGCTTGTAGTTACATCAAACATCGAGCTATTGAGGTGGCCAGATCTCTTATTCCGTGGGCTCTCTCTGCTCCGGACAAGACTATGAAGGTGACTCTCATGAAGTTTGCAGCGTATACGGCATTGTTGTACGGGTTGCTCGGCATTGTTGTACGGCACTGTTTACATGTCGTGAGCTCTCCAATATTTAGAAATAAACAAGAGACCGTGACCTGCTACAAACGTTAAATCACCCAAGCAAGGTATCTAAGACCACATTGACTCTCTAGAGGGTTTTGCAGGAATTGTGAGTAGTGTTGAACTTGTTTTTTCTTGAAGCGAAATATTGAAAGATATGAATCCCTACTCTACATCCCCTCTTGACCCGTTGGCTGACTTCTCCACATGCGCACTGGTGTTGTGACGTCACTGAGCTTCCACCGCGGCCCTGCTTAACAACAATGGATCCAACTGTTATTACCAAACTATTGGAATCTCAAGAAAATGCATATAAGAATGCTATGGAGGTAATGGTGAAACAGCTTAGTGACAGGATAAAATCACTTGAATCCACTGTTTCCGACCTGACGACAAGCCTGGAGTTCAGCCAGAGAGAAATTGATGACCTCAAATCGACTATTAAAATTCATGAGAAAGAAAAGAGTAGTGACAAAAAAACAATCGATAACCTATCTCAACAAATAAATTTTGC